TTTCAAAAATTTTATTTGCCATGATCTGTATACTTACAGGACAGTACTTTATCATGTTCAAATGATCGTCCTTTTTATGAATAGGCACCCATTTGCCTCTCTTCCAATTCCTTGGCCAATAACAGCTGGTGATACATCGGTTATAAAGATCGCATAACGGTGTAACAAGCTGTGAAGAGCCTTATTTAAAAATAATGGGTGGAATATTGCCCTGTCCAGAGGCTTTCCTGAGATTTGTCTTTCAAGATTTTCAGAACCTCCGACACTCTTATCCCTTTAAATTGAAATGATTTGCAATCACCCTTAGATATACGTTGGTTTACAATAGCTTGAATGCTTTGGTGATTTGACAGGCTAGTGTCTAAAACTTCGCTGGTATGACCTTGTTGTTTACCCCCACTGTACTGTCTTAACTCTCAATAAGTTATACTCTCCAAGGAGTTGTTTGAAAAGTGAAGGGGTCACTCTTTTGGCATGCAGAACGGATCCAAACCTGCTTCCAATAAGGCACCCCCTTCTTGCAAAATGTCAGGCTGGGTTATCTTGTTGGCCCACGGTTATCTGACTGACTAAAAGGACATGTGCTTCTGGGATTTTGGCTTTTCTAACCAAACACTGCAACTGTCACTGTGCACCTCTGGTTTGGATAAACTCCTTGGAGTAGAATTTATTTTTGTAATTTTTTTATTCTTTTGGCATTTTTCAAAACATTACTCTACTTACAATACACTACAGGACTCAGTTACAGTATGTTGCTTACAATAGTTTACTGAGAACACACCACAAACAAAGTATAGTTTACAATAAACTTGATTACAGCAGATGACTTACTATCAATTACTTCCACTATCTACACGATACTCTACATTTACATTACGTAACAACATATTACACTCCTTTCAATATGTTACATAAACTACTTACAGTACCTTAATAATAGTATATCGCGAAATTGTGTTTTACAATAAAATTGACGTCGTATGCTACTCTACATTGTTTGGACACCCATCCCACAAAACGATATGTGGCAAAAGCTTATTCCATTTCTGAAATATTTAGCTAATTTATTCCGTTTTGTTGCTATCTTCATTTCTACCTGGTATATCTCCCCGATCTTGGTCTTATAAACTCCTATTGAAGGATTTTTAGAACTCAATTTACACTAGTATATTTAAAATTTAGCTGTCAGTATTAGGTGATTTAGAAAAGTAAAGTCCTCTTCCACATTGAAAGCTCCAAAAATTATATCCATTATTGTATAGGTTTGAAAACTAACTTGACATTCACCAAGCCAAGAACAGTAAGCTTCCCAGAAAACCTTTGTAACATTACATTAGAAAAAGATATGTTCGAAGGATCCAACCTCTTGTTTACAAAAAGTACATGAGGGTAAATCTGCCAATCCCCACTTAAACAATCTTTCGTTCGTAAATACTATGCTATTTAATACTTTATATTGGAAGTGTCTAATTTTAGTTTCAATTGTGACGATAAAAGGCAAGGAGTATATACTCTTCCAGTCGAACGGAAATTGTGGAAATTTTTCCCTGAACCTTTTTTGTGCAGTTAGAAGGATTTGCTTTTTGCTTTTAAACGTGTTATAAAGCGATTTGGATGTGATTTTTGCTAACATTACCTCAGAATTTTCCAAATTCAAATAGATTATGTCATCTGTGTTAAGGGGGGATGTTGAGCGCTTTGTTTAATAATACGTCTCCAGTCACGAGGAATGGCTGGCATCCACGACGCTCATTAATTTAAAATATTGTAGCGGAGAAAATTTTGCATGTAACACCTTAACACCCTTTAAGAAGATTCCAGTGTCAGAAATGAGATCACCGATCGTAACAATTCCTTTAGAAGACAAGTGTTTTTCAAAAAATGGGATGTTTTGGACAGTAATATTTTTATTGTTCCATATAACCTGGTGAACTACATCTTCGTATGAAAGAATCGAAGATCGCCTCAACCTGGACCAAGCATCCAGGCACTCCTTATAAAAGGTCGGAAGGTAGACAGGAAACTGTCTGGTATCAAAATTACACTTAAGAATAAGTTCTCCCCCTACCTGAGAAAGGAAGAAATTTAATGTTATTTTCCAAGAGCTGTTATTATCCTTATTTGGAAATCTTTCAATACCATCACCCTCTGTGTGAGGATCATTGACTGAACATCCAACATCTTAAGCCCTCCATCCTCAATATCAGTGATAAGAGCGGCGCGTTTAGTTTTATCATTGCCTTTCCAAATAAAACGGTACATCCGACTGTTGACCTCTTTGATTAAATCATCTGTGACTGTAATCAACGCCGCTTTACTCAAGACTTCAGGTATGTCGTAAAAACAGAGGGCGTTTTAAATCTAACATTCCGGCCCCTTAAAGCCTACAAGAGGCTTTACCAAATAACAGTAATAGGTTTGAAACGCCAACGTTATTGATTATGAAACTACAAACTATCATACTAATTACTAAGTGTCCATTACGATAATGTTTTCGCTTCTAATCCTTTTCTGCAAACTCTGCGGTCTCCAGCAGGACAATCTTGTCTATGGGTCGCACTAGCTCGCAGGTTCTGGTCTTGATCTTAGCAGAGTGTACTAGCCCGTCCTTCTGATTGTGGTAAACTTCGAGCACTCGCCCTAGCGGCCATACACTACGAGGCAGATTCTCGTCTAGTAGCAGAACAATGTCATTGACAGGTAGGTTTAAGAGTGGCTTATTCCATTTTTGGCGTTGCTGTAGGGATGGTAAATATTCTCTGGTCCAGCGGCGCCAGAACACGTTGCTTAGATATTGAACTTGGCGCCATCTGCGACAGCCGTAGTTATCATCTTTACAGAAAACTCCTGGGGGGATTGTCGTTCCAGCTCGGAGTAGCAGCAGATGGTTAGGTGTGAGAGCGTTGAGATCCTTCGCATTGTCAGACACTTTGGTTATCGGTCTGCCATTCACTATCGATTCGACTTCGCACATCAACGTACTTAGACCTTCGTCGTCTAAGACCTGTTGTTTCAGCAGTGCCTTCATAACTTTCCTCACAGTTCTGATACATCTCTCCCATACTCCGCCATGATGTGAAGCAGCCGGTGGATTGAATGTCCATTTAATCTCTTGTTGTAAGAGAAACTCATGGATCTGGTTTTGGTTCCATTCTTGGACCGCCTTCCGTAATTCTTTCTCGCCTTTAACGAAGTTTCCTCCGTTATCGGATCTTATTTCCTCTGGCCTTCCTCTTCTAGCAATGAAGCGTCGGGTGGCGTTGATAAACGATTCTGCATCCATAGAGTGGACAATCTCTATGTGGACTGCTCTTATGGTGAGGCACGTAAACAGGGCGCCGTACCTCTTAACGGTTGTTCGTCCGCGGCGTACTGTGAATGGACCGAACAAATCTACGCCTACATACGTAAAGGGTGGCTTGGAAGGTGTGACGCGGTCTCGAGGTAAGCTGGCCATTTTCTGTTGCATTACGGGGGCTTGGCGGCGCCGACAGCTGAAACAAGTGTGGATAATGTTGCGGACGCTAGATCGTGCTCCTAGGATCCAATACTTTGTTCTAATGAGAGACAGAGTATACTCGATTCCTGAATGGGCTGAGGCGCGATGGAAGTATTCGATAATCAATTTTGTGACATGGTGCTTCTTGGGAAGAATAATAGGATGCTTGGCGTCATTTTCTATGGGTGCGTGTTCCAGTCGTCCTCCTACACGTAGAAGTCCATTTTCCAAGACTGGATCAAGCTTGTAAATGGTGCTGTTCTTCTTTAGGTTGTTCCGATTTGCCCTTCCTTGAGTGACGTCGCGGACGCCGTTCAGGCTTGCCAACTCGTCTTTGAAGGTTTGCTTCTGAACGTATTTCAAGATTTCGATTTCGGCTTCATCAACTTCGCTGACGCTTAAGGGGGTTATGGTGCTATTATCGAGTTGTAGCTTGATGGTTTTGTTCGTGTTGCCGTGTTGACTTCGGTTTCGCAAAATATCTTTGTAGCGCAATATCCATGCTATGACCCTTTTCAGCCGAGACCATGACGAAATCTTTTCTATTGCATTGCCAATGTAATGGTAGGTCACGTTTGTCTTACTTGCAAACGTTTCTGCTGCCTTCTTGACTTCTGGATCATTATCGAAGACCTCGCCTAAGCTCTCCGGTCTTTGCGGCCAAAACTGCTCTGTCTTTTTCATGAACGGTGGTCCTTGCTTCCAGCGCTCATTTATAAGCAACTCATCTACTGTCATTCCTCTGGATGCTTCGTCAGCTGGATTAAGTGTGCCTTCAACGTACCTCCATTGCTCAGCCGTAGACTGATCTAAAATGGCTGACACGCGGTTGGCAACAAAGATCTGGAATCTCTTATCCTTATTCTCTATATAGCGAAGAACGCAAGTGCTGTCAGTCCAAAAGGTAGAGCTGTGTATGACTATGCCAACTTCTTGTCTGATCATGCGAAAAAAAAAGGGAGAAACTTACTTTGGTGACGACTCGCACAGCAGAAAGTATAGCTCAAAAGGTAGCTTGTAGCAGATTGATCCTCTGATCGTAGCGGTTGCGGAATGACTCTCTCGCACGCTATCTTAAGTCGCCTTTTATAATGAGTGCATGCGTGACTGTGCACAGGATGTTACTTAAAACTTGTAATGTACACCATATGGAAGTGTTAGCTCATTTCCTACGCACGAACTTAGCCTATAGTACACGCACGAATCTGCGAATTCCTAACTAATACGCAGCAAATTTTAGCACGCTTCATCGAAACTAGAACTAACGATTATTATTAGAATATGTCGTAAAAACAGAGGGCGTTTTAAATCTAACAAACGGTGATATGACATAGCATCTCTAAGGAAACAAGTCATGTCATCTGCAAAAAGGGTTAGTTTGATTTCTTCCTCCTTAACCAATATACCTTTAATTTCATTGTCTTCACGAATTCAACAAGTGAGCACTTCAAGAGCAAGGATGAATAGAAAAGTTGACAAGGGGTCACCTTGCCTAACTCGGCATCTGACTGGGAACAGATCAGTAGCAAACCATTGTTTAGAACACAGCTGGACACATTAGTATAAAACGTGTTATCCACTGCAGAAAGCATGTTCCAAAATAATTTTTTTTCAAGACTTTGAGGAGGAAGGTATGATTTAAAGAGTCGAATGCTTTCTCAAAATCCACAGCCAGAAGGATACCAGAACAACCTGTAAATTGGGAAAATTCAAGTACGTCTTCAACTGTTCGAACTCCGTCCATAATTGATCTGTCTTTAATAAAGCCATTCTGGTTAGGGTGGATCAAATAAGCTAGAATTTGTTGTAGCCTTCTTGCAATTACTTTGGATGCAATTTTAACATCAACATTAATTAAAGAGATTGGTCTCCAATTCTTTATAAAACGTCTGTCTTTGTCTTTCTTTTTTGTCAAAGTAATCATAGCCTGTTTCTGTGAATTGGATAGTTGTCCCTGTTCATGAGCAAAATTTAAAGCATTGACAAGGAACCTCCATATGAGATTCCAAAAGCCGATGTAAAATTCCACAGTCAAACCACCATTTCCCGGTGCTTTGTTTTTCTGAAAAGATTTTAAAGCTTCGAAATATTCATTAGTTGTAATATTGCTGTCCAAAAGCTCCTGCTGCTCGTCCGTCAGCATTTTAGTTTTAATATTCCAAAGGAATTGGTCAGTTGATATGCCATCACAATCGTGTAAACCTGTACTGTAGAGACTTCCATAAAAGTTTTGGATCTCTGTCATTATCTGTTTTGGATCAGCCGTGCATTCATCGTTTGTGACCACTAATTTTCTAACACTGCTTTTTTTTTTTCTATAATTTTCTAAATTCAAAAAAAATTTATTCCTTTTTTTCTCTGTGTTCATACCAATTTATTCTTGATCAGATAATTGCCCCTTGAGCTATATATTTATATTGTCTATCATATTCACTTTGCAGGATTTCCAGTTCACCGATGTTTTCTGGGTTAGGCTGTTCATCGCATTTTGCTGTGCATTTTTTTAATTTTTGTACCAACAGTGATAGTTTCACCCTTCGATTTTTAGCCTTCTGTTTGCTATAGGAAATTGTTTCATAGCGGATTTTGTACTTAATAAAGTCCCAAAGGACCCTTGGATCTTGAATATCTTTTCCTTCTTCCAGCCAGATGTTATATCTATCAGTTACTAATTTAATGTAAT